GGATTCAAGCATTTGTGGAGGTACCAATGAAAAGAACAAGCATTAAACTTCCTCCAATTCATTCACATTAACATTCAGGTTTGATGGAGCAATTTCCTAAATTTAAGTTCTAAACAATCAAAGTTTCAAGTAGTTGTGGGTTTCTCAGCAAATGGGAACCTCTAGTTTGTTCACAAAAAGCTTAAAGGAATAGTTCAGCCAAACATGCATATTCTGTTATTAATTAGTGAGAATGAGATTTGACAGCGATAGAGAAGAGAAAGATTTATCATGAATAAGGACCTAAATTTGAGGCTGTTCCACAAAGAAAGATAATTTACAGTTCTGTTAGGGTCAGTAAGATTTTTTATATTTTTAAAAGGCGTCTCTTTTGCTCATCAAGGCTGCATTTATTTGATCAAAAATACAGTAAAATCAGTAATATTCTGAAATAATATTACAATTTAAAATAACGGTTTTCTATATGAATATATTTTAAAATGTAATTTATTCCTGTGATCAAAGCTGAATTTTCAGCATCATTACTCCAGTCTTCAGTGTCACATGATCCTTCAGAAATCATCCTAATATGCTGATTTGATGCACAAGAAACATTTCTGATTATTATCAATGTTGAAAAGAGTTGTGCTGGTTTATACATTTGTGGAAACCGTGATAAATGTTATTTTTCAGCATTCTTTGATGAATAGAAAGTTCAAAAGATCAGCGTTTATCTGAAATGCACTGATACCACTTGTTCCAGAACGAGTTCGTTACTTTTATTTTCAGAATCAGAATCAGAATGAGCTTTATTGCCAGGTATGTTTACACATACGAGGAATTTGTTTTCGTGACAGAAGCTTCCACAGTGTAACAGAATGACAGTGACAGAACAAAAAACACAGATAATAAAAAATAGAACAAGTAAATAAGGAATACAAATATATAAATTGACAGTTGTATGTGCAGGTATATTACAATAGACAGTTTTTGTATGTACAGGTACTGTATATTATGTGCTTTTTGTTTAGTATATTATATTTTTATATTATCTGTATAGTATATTTTTGTTACTTGCCGATATCTGATATCGTATTTTCACTGCATTTGTAATTTGAAAAAATAGAAAAAAAAGAATCATGTTAGCTGGCTTCATTTAGCAAACAGATATTTCCTTCAGTTATTTTCACACTTAATTTTACTCGTTAAAATGTGTTGTACAAGCTTTTGTTACTTTCACGGTTTATTTTATTGCTTATTATACATAAATCTCGCAACAGCAATGAACATATTTTCTGAAATATAAGTCACGATTTTTATCATCAGAAACGTGCTGTGACTTACATTCCAAAGCGGCTCATATAATGCAATTAACGTCGAGCAAGCAAAACATGCGCAAAGCATTTCTACACTCTAAAAAATGCTGGGTTAAATACAACCCAGTGCTGGGTAAAATAGGGACAAACCCAGCAATTGGGTTGTTTTGACCCAGCGGTTGGGTTACTACTCAATTGCTGGGTTTGTCCCTATTTTACCCAGCACTGGGTTGTATTTAACCCAGCATTTTTTAGAGTGTAGGCTGCTACTTTCACTTTCGCTTTTAAATCAAGTCGTGTATGCTGGACGTTTAAAATAAATGTTGTTTATAGTGAATGCCCCTATCATTTTTGCTTGTTTAATATTTAAAATTTAGTTTTAATCCAAATGATGTGTGTGCATCTTTTTTTTTTTGTCTGGACACAGCACTTTTCACACGCTGTGTGGTATTGGAGCATTTGAATGAGTACGAGTACAGGAGCGCATTATCGTTATCGGTGCACCCCTAATTATAAATGTCTTTACTGTCACTTTTGATCAATTTAATGTTTCTTTGCTGAGTAAAACTGTTGATTTCTTTCAAAAAATGGTAGTGTATGTATGACCTTAAAAGACTTGGAATATAATGCATAAGCTGTATGGACTACTTTTATAGTGTTTTATGGTATTTCTGGTCCTTTTTGGAGCTTAATAGCATGTGATCACTGTTTAATTTATTTAATTGTTATTATATGAACAATAATCAGCATGAACATTCTCCAAATCATCTCCTTTGTGAAGCAGCAAAGTCATGTGTTTGAAACGTGATCGTGAGTAAATGAGTTTTCATTTTTGCTTGACTCCCTTTAAAACAACAAAACAGGCATTAATAAACACAGCAATGTGGGAATGTGGATCAAAATGTGTTTTGAAATTACCTGCAGGAAGAGAAAACTGGCATCTAAGGAGCGGGCGAATAACAGGAACTACTAAAAATACAAGCATTCAGTATCCAAAGCCCTGTCTAAAAATGGACCAGCATAAGCAATGAAGCCCTGTGACTTTCTGTGTGTTATGAGCCATCGAGGAAGTGTGACAGAAACCCCACATGTGTACAGCAAAGAACACACACACTGACTTGGGTCATCTGTTAGGGTCATTTAGCTCGAAACGGCTGACGGTGGAAACCGTTTAACTGATCTTTCCTTGCGACTTAGATGGACGTTCATGCAATGATTGCAGGATGTGGACTAGATTCCATCAGTCTTATCTAAAACGGACCATTTTCAGTAATGAGGCGATGTTTACATGCACGGACACACACATAAAAGACGCTGACAGAGGTCAATTGGGACGTCTAATCAGAACGGCCTAACCTCAAGATATAAATGAGAAGAGTTCAGTGACTACAGGGCTTTATTTCTTGTTCATACTAGTGAAAGTCACTGATCAGCAGGTGTCTGAGGGTTTAACAGTGGTTTAGGTTAGTGAATGTGGGGGACGGAGGACAAATTGCCACACTACTGTCTTGTTAAGGCTCTTTTGTCATGTAAAATCTAATGACGTGCAACATGCTGAGCTACAGGAAAAGGCAGAAGACTTCACATTATATAAAACAACACAATGACTACATAGCACATTTTTCTTCTGTAAACAGACACACAAACCTAAGATGAAAATGACTAGTGTTAAGGCAACTACTATAGTTAACCAGGTTGCTCACTTAAATTACAGCCATATTATTTATGATACACTACCATTCAAAAGTTTGGGGTCAGTAAGACTTTCTGTGTGTGTTTTTTTAAATAAACTAATACTTTTACTCAGCAAGGGCAGATTAAATTGTTCAAAAGTGACAGTAAAGACATTTATAATGTTACAATTTCTAATCTAATTACAAACAGAACTGAAAATCAAATTTCAGATAAGAATCCTGAAAAATAAAATGTTTTTTTTTTTACAAAAATATGAAGCAGCTCCACTGTCTTCAACATTGTTAATAATCAGAAATGTTTCTTGAGCAGCAAATCAGCATATTAGAATGATTTCTGAAGGATCATGTGACACTGAAGACTGGAGTAATGATGCTGAAAATTCAGCTTTGCTCACAGAAATAAATTACATTTTATAATATATTCACATAGAAAACAGCTATTTTAAATTGTAATAATATTTCAGAATATTACTGATTTTACTGTATTTTTTATTAAATAAATGCAGCCTTGGTGAGCAGAACAGTTTTCTTTCAAAAACATCAAAAAAATCTTACTGACCCCAAACCTTTGAATGTTAGTGTGTATATAATGTATGCACCTACATGATGCTTCACATTTGTGTTTTTAAACCCTCAAGAATTCTTTTTTTACAAACGGAGGGATGAGTAATACAGTAATAATGAAACCAAAACTTTTAAGTCAAACAGAGGCGGTGTATGATTCAAACACTGGCAACATAAACATCCACCATTTGTAGTCATTAACATAATTGTGCTCAAAGCAGCAGCAGAAACACTGAACAAGCTCCAGTGCTCGTGTTGATCTGTACGAGCTTCCTGTGCGATAACCGATAATGTCCCAAAGAAGTGGAGCCAGATACACGCCACATAATCACCGTCCTACTTAACCTGCGGAGCGTGCAGGTCGACACACACCTGACCCCGCTTCAGACACAATCCAGAGGGTGTGTGAATGCATGAATGCATGTACACACTAAGGCTGTCCAAAAAAAAAAACATTTGAATTTCGAATATTCGTCGAATTAAAAAAAAACAAAAAAATCCACATTTTTGACCAATTTTAGGTCAGCGTCAGCCATCAAGCAGCCTATCAGTGGCGCACGAAATGCTACGACGATGTAAGTGTCATTGCATTTTAATGCTTTTGTTAGCTTGTCCAGTTGAACCCACTAGATGCGGCGCTGCTACATTGTTCATTCAATATATTGCGGAAAACGAGAGCATCAGTGTGGAGAAGAACAAAACTCAAAACTGAAACCAAGCCGTTCACACAGAACGCATATTTATCACATTTTCTAGAGGGACATCTATCAGCGTTGCACTCGCTTCTGGCACAAGAGAGCGGCATGTTTAGAAAGCCATGTCTCGAGACTTTATGGCGGTTTTTCCCCATCCCACTGTATCTCATGTTTTTAAATAAAGAAAGTAGCATACTCTTTGTGATTGGTTTTCGGTCCTTTGTATTAAATTACATGCATGGTGCTGTTTTTCTTCTTCTAATTGTTTAAGCAACTTTATTAATTATATATGGTTTATAAACATTATTTTAAACATTATGCACTTTTTTTTTTTTCAAAGATAGTAGTGTTATTTTATTACTCTTTGAAGAAACGTGCATAATATTTTGCGCGATGCGTCCTCTTGTGGCCTCAGGAGAGAAGCCAAAAGCTTTTTTTCCCCTAACTGAAATTATGCCTTTTAAATTCGAATATAATTCAAATTTTGATAATATTTAAGTAGAAAATTCGAATTTAGTTTTTCAGTCATTTTGACAGCCCTAGTACACACCCCACGCTACAGTAACACACTGTCTGATCACCAAACACTCGATGCACTAGTAAAAAGTGTTTCTCATTGTCTTAATGCTGTAATCAACACCAACGAAGATCAAATATAACATCTGTTGTAAGTTTTGTGGCTTGTTGTCAGCTAGTCATGTGGTCAAATGATCAGTTGTGCTTGTTGTAGACAGAGCGAGTCAGATCCTCACCCTTCTCTTGAGACGGTCTCTCTCTCTCAGCGTGAGCGTGTCAGCTTTGGCGATCACAGGGACGATGTTGACTTTGCTGTGGATTGCCTTCATAAACTCAACATCCAGAGGCTTCAAGCTGGGAAATTAAGCACAAATGGAAGCACAAATCACATAAAAAAAGTGTTTAAATGTTTGGGGTCAGTAAGATTTGAATGGAATTAATACTTTGATGCATCCTTACTAAATGAAACTGATCAAAGTTAAACACATTTATAAAGTTACAAAAGATCTCTATTTCAAATAAACGTTCTTTTGAATTCCTTCAAACAAAACCATTCATAAATGTTTTCAACATTGATAAAAATAAGAAATATTTTGTGAGTGGCAAATCAGCATATTAGAATGATTTCTGAAGGATCATGTGACACTGAAGACTGGAGTAATGATGCTGAAAATTCAGCTTTGACTCACTGGAATAAAATTCCAAAATATATATTCAAATAGAAAACACTTATTTTAAATTTAAAGTACATTTCAGAATATTGGTGATTTTACTGTATTTTTGATCAAATGAATGCAGCCTTGGTGAGCAAAAGTTTCAAATATATAAAAAAATCTTAACAACCAGAAACTTTTTAACAGTAGTATACAAATTTATGAGCCCATGAGAATGAAAACAAAACGATATGTCCAGCAAATTTCACCCTGAAATGATGTGATGTGACTGTTTGGTTGCAATTTTTCCTGGCAATTCATGTCAGCAATAAACTTTTCTCCAAGGCCACCGAACATTTAAATCATCATGCTCAGTGTGAACAATTAACGTGAATTTTCACTTGTGATTTTATTGTCTTTTAATTTCTCCGAGGCTTGTTTTACACTTAATGTGAATAGCATGTATGTAAAAAATCAGCTGTAATTTCTGATGGAAGATTCATGTCACTTTTAAACTTAAACTTTAAAGTGCAAAGTTTTTATGTAATTTTCACCTGTGGTTTTTGTTGGTGATTCATGTTGCTTTAATGCATAACTTCTGCTGTAAACAGGCCTTAACATTTAACATCTGCAAGAATAAAATTTTTATTGACTGATGATGAAAGGCAGAACATGTGCAGGTGTTTTACCCGTGTCCAAACGGAGAGATGAAATAAAAGCAGCAGTGCACTCTGTTGTCAACGATGTGTCTGCGGTTCAGTCCGCTCTCGTCATGCAAGTATCGCTCGAACTGATTATCAATATACTGGATGATCGTCTTAAAGCTGTCGAACAGAATAAAGCAGATATCAGAGAACAAGCTGAAAGGAAATGCTCAGACATAAAAGCTTGTGATTGTATTAAACAAGTGCATTAAACAAGCATCGGATGCGGATCTCAGCTGAACAAAACCATAATCTAATCATGAGATATCTGGATGCACTTAGAAATGACAAACAGCCACTGTCCAAATAAAGCTTATCAAAACGCTCCACAACATCATGTTTACAGGTTCCTGTCCAGCATAGACGGACCACATGCACCAGTGTTAACTTATTTTCCATGGAGATCTTAGTATAGATTTTAATAATATTTTGATATTTTTAATATTTAATAGTTTTTATTTTAAATGTAATTAAATGTTAGTAATTTAGTTTTTTGTAATTGTTATTAGTTTGAGTTTTTGTTTACATATTTATAGTTTTTAATCTTTTTTATTTCAGTTTTAGTTTTTTAGTACATGAGGTTAAATAACAAAACTAAAAAAATAAACAATTATTTATTTATTATTATTATTGTTTTCTTTTTTTTTACAGTTTTAGTTTTTTAGTACATCAAGTTAAAGCTAAAAATGAGAAATGCTGACTTGGCTGGAATAATTTTTAAAAATGTTTTTCTATTTTATACACACGTGGTCAGAATTGTTGGTACCCTTGGTAAATATGAACAAAGGCGGCTGTTAAAATCTTTTATTTAAAAAAAAATCACAAAAATGTAACCTTTCATTGGAGAATAAGAATTTAAAATGGGGGGAAATATCATTATGAAATAAATTATGTCTAATACACATTGGACACAATTACTGGTACCCCTAGAAATGTAATATATAAATATATTTATAAAAACATATAAAGTTATTGTTAACTATAATTAGCCTAACTATAATTATTGAATGCATCAACTCTCAGTTCTCTAAAGCCTCGCCACCAGCTTCCCTTTTGCTCTACAGTCTCCTGACTTATCTAAACACCACATTCTAAACTAAACTAAACTAAACTAAACTAAACTAAACTAAACCCCTAACCAGAACTAAGCCACTTCTGTGTCTTCTGATAGACCTCATGCATGAATTGGGTTTGAGACCGCAGCCTTATCGAGAGGTTGAAGGAGAAGAAGACATGACATGACAGTAGGTAGGTAACATGGATGGCACATTTTCATTATCAGCCTGAGAAGTCTGTGGGTGAGAGATGGGGAGGATATTGTTCTTTCAAACAGGCCGTTCCCAGCATTCCTCAGCAACGCTCAATTACCAATAGAGCATCAAGAGACAACAGCTGCCTCCAGTCTACAGTCAAGTGCCATTGTGTAAATAATCTGTTATGCAGATACACAAACACAAAACATCGGGTATTAAATTAATAATCAGTCCGGTCTACCATTCAAGAGGTCATGGTTATATGCAAGTTCTAATTTAATGGTAGATATCTGTGATAATAAACAGCTAGTTCACCTATCTAAGAGACACAACAGCAGCACTAATGCAAGTGCACTCAAGAGTAAACACACATTATGTTTAGGGAAAATGAAACGTTGGAATGGGCCAAGATGGCATCTGGCCGAGATCTACTGCTTTATTTTAAGCAACAGATCTTTAATATGCATGCTGTGATTTAGCTGTTAAGACAGTTTGGATGGTAGAAAACTTAACATCGCTAAATGCATCAACTTTAAAGCAACATTCAAACATAATATGATGCATGCATGCAAATTTTTTTGTTGTTGTTGAGAATTCTGCCATTAGCATTGCGTTTCTAATATGCAAGTTAAAATAGTCAAAAAATTTTAATTACATGACAAGTTGCCTGAATTTGTTGTCCATCTAGCAGTTTTTGAATGCAAGATGATGTCTAAAACAAAACGTTTTTCTTTAAAAGTGCAAGTGCTTGTTTATTTTTACAATGAAAAGTTGCCTTGATGTTTAGTTATCTAAAGTAATGATGTTCAGAAGTGTGATTTAGGTGTCCAAATAACTAAGAAATTTTCAGATTCTATGTATAAATAAATGAGTCAGTTATGATGGACAATGTACAGTTATGAATGTTTTAATTGTTCAGGCTGAATATAGCCTGTGGGAAAAAACAGTTCTTGTGCCTGGCTGTTCTGGTGGTCGGTTGCTCTGTAGTATCGTATTGGCGTTTCGTCCAGACGGATCCGGCGTTTTGGGAGTCTGAAACCGCTATCTTTTGAAACCGAGTCCCAGAGTGGATAAATCTGAAAACGACACCCTTGCGTTTTCGCGTGTACAGCCAATCCGTATATTTTGTGAAACGATAATGTCATCACCCCACGTCTCAACCCTAGTCAGACTCCGCTACGTCATGTAACAGCAACAACAACAATTGCAGACAACATGCTTGTGTTCGTGCTGCAGAAACTAAAGAGCCTATTAGCTTTACTAAAGCAAAATCAAAAATTACTAATGCAAAAATGTTTGTATACAGTGTGCAAGGTTTATGCGCATGCTCCAAGTCTTCTGCTCCATTTTTAGTGTATCTCTGTGGCAGAATTACAGCGCCAAATACTGGTCTGGCTTGTATACTACGTCGTTTTGAGTCGGTTTCAGTAGTTTCGTGTGTCCGCAAATATTTCTTGAGACGACACCGTGTTTATGGAATTTTATTTTTTTTACAACGAGGAAAAAAAAAGGATCGGATAGGATAAGCTCTGGCTTTGTGTGGATGTGGTCTTATTTTAGAACCGGGTCTTCTGTCTTCTGAAGGCCCGGTTCACATCCTCGACACAGACCTTAAGCGCAGGTTGAATGGTGGGTGAGGGAGGGAGTGGGGTTGCAGGAGGGGTAGGTGAATGTGTGAAGTGCAGATCAGAGCGGGTGTGGGGTGTGAGACTGGGTTTCTCAAACCGGCAGTAAAACACATTCAGATCGTCAGCCAGTTGTTGATTCTCCACAGACTGCAGGGATGGTGTCTTGATGTTCCTCAGATCAGTCCATACTGATGCCGGGTCGTTGGCTGAAAACTGTTTTTTCAGCTTTTCAGAGTAGTTTTCTTAGCCACTCTTCTTCTTTTGTTAGTCTGTTTCTGGCCTGGTTGTACAAGATTTTATCCCTACTTCTGTAAGCATACTTCTTGGCATGACGAAGCTGTTTGAGTTTCCCAGTAAACCACGGTTTATCATTATTGAATGATAGGAATGTCCTGGTAGGAATGCACATGTCTTCACAGAAACTGATATATGAAGTTACAGTCTCTGTGAGC